TGTACCTTTTTTTTTTTTTTTTTAAAGATTTTACCCATTTATTTGAGGGAGAGAGAGAGCATGAGAACAGAATGAGGGGCAGAAGGAGAAGCAAAATCCACATAGGGAGTCCAGCATGGGGCTTGATCCCAGGACTCTGAGCCGAAGACGGACCCTTAACTGACTGAGCCACACAGACACCCTGATCTCTTAGTTGACTTAAAAATGAGCCAGTTCTAGTTTGCTGATCCAAGGGAAATTAAGAAATTAGATAGGTTTCCTAGACTCTTAACAGGGTGATTTATACAGGGATAGGAAGTAACTTCCACAAGTTAAGAACTGAGAGAGCAGCAGACCTCTTGATCTGAGCATTGTTCACTCTGTCTGTGGCCAAAGAAGCTTTTATATTTGGAAGCTTAACTTCTGCCACCACTTCCCACTTGAAGATGTTTCAGATCTTTTTTTTTTTTTTAAAGCTTCCTAAGTGTGTGTGTGTGTGTGTGTGTGTGTGTGTGTGTGTGTGTGTATTTAAAGATTTTATTTATTTATTTGACAGAGATCACAATTACGCAGAGAGGCAGGCAGAGAGAGAGGAAGGGAAGCAGGCTCCCTGCTGAGCAGAGAGCCCGATGTGGGGCTCGATCCCAGGACCCTGGGATCATGACCTGAGCCGAAGGCAGAGGCTTAACCCACTGAGCCACCCAGGCGCCCCGCTCCCTGTGTATTTAAATGGGAAAGAATCAAATGTCTTCCTCTGAAGTTGCTTGTGCTTTAAAAAGATAATCTTCAGTTATTTAGTTTGTATGAAAACTGATTTCTAGCTAATATAGAAGAGAATAAGGGGAAAGATTGTTAGTAAAGGGAAAGCCTATGAAATGGCTAAATCTCTAAAGTGTAGCTCCTGGCTTCTCCTTTGTAGGAAGTGTAAGACATGGTTTTCCTCTTGGGAGCTTTCAGTGGAGCTAAGGAGGCAAAACTTAAATACTGCCAGGAGGGGATTAGGGGCTATAATAAAAACGTTCCTGAACAGAACAAGATGAATGAGCAAATGGGGACTCTAAGGCTGGAAGGGTCTAAGAAAGTTTCCATGAGAAGAAACTAATTTGGTGGTTTTGGTTGGAGATGGAGGGATGCCAAGGTGAGGGGGAAAGCAGTGCTCAGTCTGGAACTACCAGCTTAGGGTTGGGTGTCAGGTCTGCTGGAGAATATAGGCTGGAAAAAGAGACATTGTGCTGGATTAGTGATGTAATTTTGGTGACTGTCCAGGAAGAATGTTGATCAGACCCATGTCAGGCAGTATAGTTCTTGGGTGGTTGAACTAAAATATATGTATTTTTAAAATATTTTATTTATTTACTTGACAGACAGTGAGGGAAGGAACACAAGCAGTTTGGGAAGCTGGAGAGGGAGAAGCAGGCTTCCCGCCAAGCGGGGAGCCTGTTGTGGGGCTCGATCCCAGAATCGTGGGATCGTGACCTGAGCTGAGGGCAGACACTTAACGACTGAGCCACCCAGGTGCTCCCTTAAATATTTTTTTAGTACTGTACTAAAGGATTGTGATGGGGGTTTTACATTTGGAGTCCTAATTGATGCCTTTGTTTACTCTTGTTGAAAATTACTCTGATAGGCAGAATGAGTAAGAGAACTGGATGTGCATAGCAAGACAAATGATGTGAGAAGTTTAGAACATATCCAGTGGCCCAGCATCGAGCCATTTGGACACCTAAGCAGGATAGACTGTCCTTATTGTTGAGCGGTCAGTGGATATGAACCTTATCAGTGGCATAAAGGTGTTGGTCAGGAAGCTCTCGTTTGATGAATTTCCAGTGTGGGACTTGAGTGATAGTCTAACTCATGGGTGACGTACGTGCTGCCTTGTGGCGTCTTACACCGTTGGCTACATCTGGTGTGTGCAATCCCGAGAGGCATTTTGTGGCGGGAATATTGAATATAGTTGCTTACAATAGTATCTTCTTGGTACACTGTATAGTTCTCACGACCTTCTGACACTGCTTAACTTGAAATTTTCATAAGTATTTACTGAGCACCTGATCTGTATGCCAGCCTGCCTCCTCTTTCACTCTTGAGAATCTGCCTAGTCCATAAAAGTGCTCTCAGTGTCAATACTTACCTCCTGTATTGGGCAAAGTCTTATTTGTCCTGCTGCATATGCTCTTGTACAGCTTCTCTTACTTGCTTCAAATGCTCTACAGATACTTCTATCTCACGAAGCTTAGAGGATGGGTGGGAGCAGAGAGCACTACCCTGTCAAAAACTACATTTAAGAGGAGTTTCCAGAGTGGCCTTTGCTTGCTTGCTTGGTTTCCTTTGTTCCTTTGACCTAATTCCTCCTCTAATTTCTCCCCTTCCTCTACCCATTCCTCCCCTCCTCTGACCATCTCCGCGCCCCCCCACCGCCCACCCCCAAATTGACTGCACATGCTTTAAAAGAACAAGCCTTTAGATAGTTAGGAACACCTGAATGGAAAAGGAAGATCTGGTCCAAAACCCCAAGTGAACTTGAAAGAAGTATCAGCTTGAACTAGTAACAATTTTCTATATGATTTTTAGCTGATGAAATACCCCTTACCCTGTGTGACTGAACTCCTGAGAACTGCTAAGAGATGAGACATTTCCTACCCCTAGGACAGAATTTGCTTTTTCCAGTTACTTCTCTGCCTAATCACACATTATCCTTACCTTTGAAATCTCTCCTGACCTGACCTGGCTTTTATTCTAGCCTCTGACTGTGGGAATATCCCCACCCGCCCTTCTCAGACCCTTCTGGCCCTTTGTGGACAAAGAGGCCAACAAAGGTCCATTAGTTGCTCGGTGCCAGTAGAGAGTCCGAGAGCCTGAAGTAGAGTTTCTGGGACAGAGGTGATTGGAATAGTTGGCATTGATGGAGCCTAGGAGGAACCAGGGTCTGTTTTGGGTGGTCTGCTTTCTTTCAGGGACTGGTGGTGAACTCAAAGTTCTGGGTAGAGCTGAGAAAGTCATGATAAAGCAGCCTTTCTAACGTCAAAGAAAAGCCAGTCAGCATTTTTTTTTTTTTTTTTTTTTTTTTTTTTTAATAAGGAATTGTTCTTGGTCTCAAATCTTCTACTTTGATATATAGGCCTGACAGGTCTTTGTTACCCTTGCCCTTTCTAGGCTGTTTTTCTAGAAATGCATGGAGGAACCGATTTCATTTCTTCTTTGGAACAATGTAAAGAATCAAGTCTGTTTCCATGCACTTGTGGCCTTTCTAGCCAGACTTAGAGTACACTCAGAGCTGGGCAGGAAGGAGTGCTTTCGGGACATTCAAAAGGTAGTTAAAGCCAGAAGAGTCTAGCCACAGGGCTTCCTATATAAAAAGGGAAAACATATTCCAGTTGAGAGACCTGGGCAGGCCTCACCAGCTTGCCATGCTGAGCCCGCAGCAGATTTTCTGAGCACAGGTGCGGCAGCTTTGGCAACTGCCGAGCCGGTTTGCCTGTTTTCTGGGAATTTGTAAGGGAAGTTGTGGTATCTTGTCTTGGGAGAGCTCAGAGACGGGGCTCGTTCCTGGCTTGCAGTGAGGTGGGACTGGTGTGCTATTTGAAATTGTATTTAGGGCTGCACTCTCAAGTCACCTGTGGCCTCAGGAATGTGCTGGTGTGATCTGGGAGGATTTGAGTTTCCTCTTTGAAGTTACTTTTTTTAAGAGGCTGGTTTGATTTTAACCAAGTTGCCAGAGCCTTCCTCTTTCCCCTCACATTCACAAAGGGTGCATTGTTCCTGTACCCAATGTGCTCTAAATAAGACATCAGATCAGATGCAGCCAACCCAGTCTTGCATAAGCCTTAAAATGTTTTTGAAACAAGCAGGCCAGTAGCCAGAGTGGAATTCTTAAAATGGGACAGATGTCAAGAGAATGGTCTCCTCTTGCACCCTTCCAGAAGAAAAGCAAGTCTGGGATTACAACTTCCAGTGGCCTACTTTAGACAGTACTCTGGAAGATGACTTTATTTATAAATATTTTTAAACATAAAATCTCAAAAATAGAACGCCATGAAAATCACAGTGCATGATGGTGACCCACTGGCTGACTGTTGGGATATTCTTCTTGCCCAGCCTTTTAATCTGATGTTGGAGTGACCTATTGAAGTGGCTTTTACACCTTTTATGTTCATGATGGGTTTGAGGAGTTAACTGTATTCTTAAACATGATGGAAACTGCTGTTAAAAAGTAGGCTGTAGATTTATCAAACTGGAGAGGTTTTGTATAAAAATAGGAAGATACTTAAAGTACCTAATTAGCTTTTGGGAGGAAAGGGTGCTATTGAAATGCTCTTTCAAGTTTTCTGATACCAGCTTGGAGAGACTCCGGTTTGCCTCAAAATAGGATGTGTGCTCATGGAATGTTGGGTCTTTTCTCTCTGCGGAAGGAAGATGGGAGGGGAAGATGGAGCCTAGTGGTTGTGTGGGTCTGTGGTGGCAGTTCACAGCCCATTCCCATATGCAGGGTGGCCTTTGCTTGCATCACTTGTGAAGTCCGAAGATTGGGGAGTTTACATGTAGAAGCAGCTTATTAGCTCTTGTGGTTGGGGCAGGGCCTGAGCCTCCAGTAGGGGAGGTAAGGAAAGTAATCACTGGTTTCTGTAGATTGAAAGTCTTGAGAATGTGTGTCCCACGATAGAGAATAAGCTCCAAGTTTTATGGCTGTGGGTAAAAAAAGTGTGTCATGCTCTATTACTGAAACAGCTTATTCCTTAGTGTCAAGTTTTGAAAGAGAAACCCAGTAAAAAGTATCTTTATTCTCATGTTAAAAAAGTTTTTGTTGGATGATGCATTAACAATACAAAAATATTTTTAACACTACAATAGTCCTTTTCTTTCTCTCAAGACTTCTTGCAACACTATACTAGAATATATGTTCTTTGGATTCTGAGAAGCCAGTGGCTAAACTAGGAACTAAAGGCTTTTGTTGAGGGGTGTACGGGTATAGGAACAGCCCGTTTTCTTTGGAATCAGGCTATGTACAGTGAGGGAAGAGGCAAAAAAAAAAAAAGTTAAATTAAAAGTTTTTTTTTTAAGGCTCAGGGTTGAAGCTTGGCTCAGAAATGGGTTAAAGTAGGCTGTGGTGAAAACCCACTGACTACCACTAGAGGTTCTCTGGACTTCTTGCTTTGATGGTGATGGTCCTTCCTGCAGGACTATTAGGAAACTGAAGCTGACCTGTTTTGTGCTGGAAGGTAGGCACTGACTGTCACGAGGTTTGCCTTCTCTCTCAACTGCCCAAGAGCTGCCTAGACTGACACGGATAAGTAGGAAATGGAGCTGTGACTGAGGGCTTCTAGGAGTAGGGAGGGATGCACGCTAGGTTTTGGGCCGTAATTTCTTTCAGCTGTTGAGTTCACCCAACCCAAGGCTTGGGACCTTGGTAATCAGAGCTTATGGTGAGGCTGAGTTTCTCTTGGAAACATTTCCAAGTAATTTGAACTAGAGCCAGGTACGTCTCACTGCCCATACTTGCCTGATAAGGTAGTGTCAGGTTATTCCTGCTGCCTGCGGTGATAGGCCTATATTTAACTGTTCCATTCCCTCCTTGTCTTGCAAGCTCTTGAGAACATGGCAGGAGGCTTCCTTCTGGTCCAGCTTAGGAATGATTACTCCTTTTCTGTCAAAAGGGCTTCTCCTGGCCCTTTTGACATAAGTATTGTCCTCTTGAGCACGTGGTTGTGACCATGCTCAGGCGTTGTTTCATAAACCAGCTCATTAGTCCATGAAGTAAGTGTCTGGTATGGGGAGGGTGTGGCAGTGGTGGGGCTGGGGAGGTGGAGGGTAGGGAAAGCAGCTGGGCTCAGTCCCAAGCATCTAGGACAGCTATAGCAAAAAAGCAGATGAGGCAGCAGGGGCATCTGGCCAGCAAGACAGTGGTAAAAGGGATAGATGCAGGCTGCTATAGGCACAAGGGATGCCCTTAATCAGATGACACAACACAGATCTGACTCCTGCCACTCGGAGCAGTTGGATTGATGGCCCCAGGTTCAGGCAGAAGTTGTGCAGCCTCGGAAGTCTCCTGGGCCTGGTCCTGGAGAGGGAGGTAACAGGGCCCTTGGCCAGTTTCCATGTGCTTTGGGGCTCTGTCGCTTCCTCTCAGAGGATGGGCCCCTGGAGGCAGCCAGGTGTCCTGTGCATCCTAGGCTGCCTGTCTCTGAGATTCCTCTTGTTGTACCTGTGTACTCTGCAAGGCGCTGGGGAGGGGCTGGGGGGGTCCAGGGGGCTGGGAGGCTGAGAGCGGCCGAGAGCCCTGGTGATGTAGGCGCTGGCTCCGCAGGACTAGCAAGCAGTTCTGTGGGGAGGTGGGGCAGCAGGAGGTATGAGGGCGAGTCCTGGGGGGCTGGGGACCCGGGGCAGCCTACAGCACTGTCATCGGAAGGAACGGGGCTGGGGCAGCGGCCTTCTCCGGGTAAGTACCGAATGCATTTCTTTTTCCTCCTAGGAATAGTGAAGAGAGTTATCTGTAAACAGAGGGTGAATTCATAGTCATACACCACAACCAGAAAATGCTGTCCTTGCACAGGCCTAGCTGACCTCTTGTCCCCTCTCCCCAGGACTTGGGTGATGTGCCTGTGCCTTCAAACCTAGCACTGCAGTTCTGCTGGGCCTGGCCCAAACCTGGAACAGGTGTAGTACCCAGCACAGCCACAGGGTGGCACAGGAACCTCTTGTGGGCTGGCCCTGGGGGCTGCCTTCTGTTTTCCTGGGAAAATTATCTCCTAGTTTGGGCCTTGGAGCTTCTGCTTCACATGTCTGTGGGGTTCAGATCTGCATTAAGGCAAAGGGCTGCACTGCTTGTGGATTCTTGGGTGGTGCTCAGACAGAATACCACAGATACGCTCCCATTGTGTGTACATACATACACGTCTGTACTACCCGAATTCCTCTTTGCCCTTGGAGAGGGAGCACGGTGGGCACTGTGAGGGACTGGACAGTACTCCTTAGAGTCTGTGAATGTAATGCCTGGAGTAGGTTCAGCACTACCAGACCTGACCTCAACTTCAACCAGGCAAACTTCAGTCTCTTGGTGTAGGTATGTATACCTTCTTTCACATACACATTTCTCTACTATATGGGGAAACACGTGGGTTAAGTGCTACAGAGCCTAAGTATGACCCTTTTGCTAGGACAGCCCAGGGATACCCCCTCTTCCTCTCTCCCTACCTCTGCAGTCCCCTCATTTCCGGTACAAGGTGAAGTACATGACCACTTGGCATCCAGGCTGTTCTCTACTACAGTCACCTTGGTGTGGTGGGTGTGTGTGTTTTCCCCGTTTTTTAGGGTTCAGGAATCCTAACTTGAAGAGGTGAGGGAACTGGTAGACCACGGTGAGTTCTAGGCCTGGTAGCCAGGGGCTCAGGCCACTGATTGGGGCACATGAGATTGGCCTGCTGAGGATCTACTAACCCTAGTCATTATTAGGCCATCATTAACCGAGGACCCTGGGCAACAGGCACCAGAACTACCTTCTTGAATCTGCCTGCCTTTTCTAGAACATTCTTTCTCCACCTCATTCTTAGGAGACATGGGTTCCCCAATCTGTGGGTATGCTTTGGGACTGGGGGACCAAAGGAGGGCTATAGGCCTAGCAGAACATGTGCAGAGTCAGGGAAGCAGCTTGAAGCAAAGGGAGGATGGTGGTGGGGACAAACCCACCTGCACGGACCACACCAATCCGTCTGCTGGTTGAGGCCAAAGCGAGCACGGCATTTCTTAGGCGAGCCAGGGTCTGCTCACAGCCATGCCAGAGGGGCAGAGCAGGGCAGAGGGCGAGCAGGCAGGCAGCAGGGCAGAGCAGGGCCCAGAAAGAAGAGGTAACATCAGTGTCAGCCAGTCACAGATACCCCATAGGCCCCATAGGCAGAGGGCCTCTCCATGGCACAGCCAGCCCCCATGGGAGCCCCAGGACCCAGAGCCAGGTTATCAGGAAAGGTGGGCACCTAGCTAGGCAGGAGAGGCAGTGGGAAGAACAGTGGAGGGAGGGAGGGGAATCCTATAGGTTAGCTGCTCTTTCTGGTTGCAGCATGGGAGCTATGGGAGAGGAGACCCGGGGAGGCCCTGAGGGCTGCCCACCCCACACATTTCCCTGCCCACTTTATCCAGTTTTTCTTCCCTTTTGCCCGTGCCCACTCTGCCTAATCCAACCCCCCCGCAAGGCGTTTAAGCTGTAGCTTAAACCAGGTGGACAGTTAAGTCCATACCTCAGAAAAAGGGCTGAGGATTCTACCCTGCCTCAGTCCTAGCCTTGAGCTTCCCTATGTGGGGGCAGCATAGCTTGAGACCGTCGTGGATGTGGAGTCTGAATTCAACTATCAGACTTGGGGCATGAATTCACCCACGGGAAGGAGACTTGAAGCAGTGTGTGGCTTCCTTGAGTCCTCCATACAGAGCACTCTGTACTGTCAAAATAAATGGATCGGGTAGGTGGGCTGGTGACCAAGTAACAGCCAGGCACCAACCAGCAGGCAGTGGGACTTCTGGGCCTAGGCAGGGCTGCACCTCCACCCCCACAGCCTGCGTGCAGGTCACAGCAGAACCACAGGCTCAGTTTCTGTGGCAGAGGCTAGCTGGGAGCAGGGCTTGCAAAGGCAGGAGGGTGCAGTAGGGCAACACACCAATGTTACACTGTTACAGGGACTTCCTATAGCTGTTCCTCACATGCGGAATCAGACTTGTGAGGAGTGGGCCTTGTTTCCAGAGGGTCTAAAGGTCTGTGGCTGAGTGTTCTGCCCCTCCCTCTGGGCCAGAGCAGGGTGCTCATGGAATGCACACTTGGAGAGCAGTCTCCACTGCTGAGAGAAGGCCTCACCTGTGTTGGATTCCTGGTGCTTTTCCCGAGACCGCCTTTTCTTCTTCCCCTGCAGGGAACAGAGGGATGGATTCTGCTCAGATCTGGGAGGTGGTCCCTTGATAACTCCAATGAGTGAGTGGCTGGGAAACCTGCAGCCCAACCTGGCTGTTGCTGAAATTCTTGGGTACAGAGTTCCCTCCTCCAGAGGTGGCCTGGCATTTCTTGGTGACAGTTTTTGCCAGGGTACCAAGGTGCAGAGGATGGCACAGAGGCTCCTCCTTCCTTTCCCATGCTGGTCTCCTTTCTGAATGGAGGAGACAACTTACAAGGAAGGCCCCTTCCTCTCCATTTGCCTACATGGCCAAACACCAGGCAAGAGTCCTGTGGGGAGAGTACATCCCAGGGGAAAAGAGGACATGGGCCTACCTTCAGGGGCAGCTTCCCTTGCTTGGCTCTCTTCAGACTAGCCACATGAGGCCTTGGGCCCTTCACTCCACCACCTGCCCTCCTTAACTCTGCTTTTGGGCCCTTCACTCCACCACCTGCCCTCCTTAACTCTGCTTTAGGACAGTGGTCTGGGGCATGGCATTTTGAAGGTTCCCCTCCCCGTCCCTCACTGGCCACTCACATAATTGTCCCGCGCTGACCAGCCTGGGTACAGCTGCATGTGCAGCTGCCTCTCCTTTCGGGCCAGCTCATAATACTTGGCTTGCTCTTCCCGAGACAGTGCATGCCACTGCAGTGGGGAAGAAGGGGTAGATGGAGTGTATCAAGGCGTCAGTCAGGGGCCATCCCTACCAGCCCACCTGCCCGTGGCCTCACCCTTCGACCCAAGATCTGGTTGATGGCAGCACTCTCCTTGAGTGTGCACTCTGCAATGACCTTGGCTCTCATCTCCTTCATGTACAGCATGAAGGCGTTGAGGGGCTTCTTGATGGTTGGCTTCTTGGCTTCCTTCTCCACCTTGGATTCTGCCTGTGTCTTCCTAAGGAGTATAAGTCCAGATCACTCAGGAGCCCCCCAGTGTCCACCTAATGCTGCTGCCTTTTTCTAATTTGTGTCCAGTGTGTGTGTAAGTGCATGGAAACTAGGGTTTTGTAAATGGTATCTTTTTCAGCTGCTCCAAAATGGATGATCAGAACTATGTAACTCTTCCTTACAGGAATGCTGCAGCTAAGAGAAACATGTTCAAGGACTTCTCAGCCCCTCCTCTTTGGCTCAAATCTTTGTTCCCCACCTTATCCATTACCTCCTGCTTCTAAGGAGTGTACGACTCTTGCTATTGGGGTTGTGAGTTCACGCCCCACACTGGGTGAAGAGATTACGTAAATAAATAAACTTAAAAAAACAAAACATTGGTCTTTCAGTGGTGAGAACCACAAGATGGCTTGACCAGAGGCCGCCCCTGACAGCCCCTAGAGCTTCTAGGCAGCAGGTGTAGAATCTGGTGGGAAGAATGTGTCTCTGGCTGATGAATCGATGGGCTCCTGAGTCTGCTCACTTGTTCCCCTCCCTCCACACTGGGCACCTTCTCACTCACAGGCTGCGGTCATACGGCTGCAGTTCCTGCTTCCCTGAGGGAGGTACGATGGCCGGGTGGGGGATGGCTGCAGGGTGACCAGGTACACCAGAGCCCAGCATCAGGGATGGGTGGGTGAACCTAAAGGCAGAAGGAGAGTTAACACCGAGGCAGGAACGTATGGGCCAGACCTTGGACGTCTGGAGGCCCCTGTACAGTACACGAAGATGGGGGCACACCCCACCCCCACTGTCTTGCACACAGGTACACAGATACATACAAACACCTGCTCCCAACAGATTACACAGACACACTGCACAAATCTGCATGCATGTCATTCAGGGGGCTATGAAGTCAGTCGTGAATAGCTTTGGAATCCATCCCCTTACCTTACACTGTCACCAGTTCAGCCTCCTGAGCCTGTGACTGCCGTGGGAGTCCCCTGCCTCTCTTCACACAATACCCAGAGAGACTTTTAAAAACACCTGAGTGCTCTTGGCCACTCCTGCTGAAATTCCCCCATAGCCCACAGAATAAAACCCAGGATCCTCCACGGGACCTGCCCCACTCTGCATGAACACCCCCGCTGACAAAATCTGCTCCATCTTTTCCCCACTTTTTTCTTTTTCTTTTTTTAAAGATTTATTTATTTGACAGAGAGAGACATCACAAGTAGGCAGAGAGGCAGGCAGAGACAGAGGGAAGCAGGCTCCTTGCTGAGCAGAGAGCCCGATGCGGGACTCGATCCCAGGACCCTGGGATCATGACCTGAGCTGAAGGCAGAGGCTTAACCCACTGAGCCACCCAGGTGCCCATTTTCCCCACTTCTTCATCACTTTACAGCCCTCGCCATCCCCAACCAGTGCTGTTCCCCTTGGCCGCTTTACTCAGGATATGTGACTCTTGAGGAAGCTCTCCCTGTCCATGCCCCTGCCCTGGCTGGGTTCTGATTAGGATTATCCCATCACCCAGAAAGCCCATTTGACTATTAGTGCTCTGTCCATACCTCCCACCCTGGGCTGTGAACTCCAGTAGGGCTGGACATGGTCTGCTGAGTTACTTGTTCCATCCCTGGCTTGGGTCGGTCACTGAAGGAGTGAGTGTATTGAAGGGACTCATACATATACACACACCTGTCACTTTGATTTTCTGCTCTTCTGTGGAGACCACAGTGCCCTTGCTCCTTTCTCTGAGCAGGGAGCCCCTAAGGGTCCAAGGTTGGAGACACATGGAAAAGGTGGTGCCTCAGCTTGGGCAGAGCTCATGGAATGCCCAGGAGAGTGTGCCTGACCCACCCTCCAGCAAGGAGGCACAGGAGAGGTGAGTGCACACACACCTGCACTTGGGCGGACTCAGGCGCGCACAGAGGCAGGAGCACAAGCACACGTGTGCAGGCACTGCCCCCGGCTGCTCGAGGGCACTTGGCTGCACGGTATGGCCTGGGCTTAAGCCTCTCGCTCTCCCACTGGCTTCATTTTCAGGCACAGAGCAGCAGGGGCTGCGGAATGACAGACGGACGGATGGACAGACAACTAGCACAGGGCAAGCACTGGCCTGGGCATGGCCTCGTGTGGGCACTGAAGCCTGGGCAACAGGAAGCAGGAGCCTGGCTGCAGGGTGTGGGACTCACCTGGGGTAGGGGGCGCCAGGGGCTGCAGTGGGGGCAGGGAAGTGCTGTCTATATCCGCAGGAAGGGGACAAGGGGTAGAGAGGAGGGCTGGGCCTGTGGTTGGGAGAGACAGCTGTTAGCAGTCTGGCTACTGGCCAGATGTGGGGACAGACTTCCCCACAGTGCTTGGGTCTGACCCATGGTGGGCAGGGAATCGGTCTCTGCTAGGACTCTTCCAGTGTATGTACTGGGCATCTGCCACCAGAGGGCAACCTGCGCTGCTCCTGTTTTCCTCTACACACACTGGCGCCTAAGGGGCAGAAATGACAGCTTTCTCCCAGGATCCAGCTCAGGAGCCACGCCCCCACCCCCGCCCCCCAGCTCACCTCTAGCCTTATTTCCTGGTCAATACAGGGCTGACATCTGCCTTAGGGCTTCTGCATCCACTGTTAAAATGACTGGATTATTTTGCCCCCCTTTGGATTCCTGGTCTCCCTTCAGGCCGTGCTTGGCTATGTGACCTTCTCTCCTGAAAGCCCTTGAAATGCTGAGCTGGATGAGGCACCCCTCTGGGCTCTTACAGCCCCCAGCGAAAGCACTGCTAACACTGCCCTGTAATTGTTGGGGGTCTGGCCTGGGTAGCGCACTAGGGTGATCAGGTGCTGAGAGGGCAGGGGCCTGAGGTCGGCCAACCCTGCCTGGCCAACTTCAATCCTGGGGTATTCATAGGTGGAGTCCTGATTGGTATTCAGAGTGGAGCACTGTCCGAGGAGAATCTGGAAATGGAGTGAGAGCTGAACATGGGTAAAGAGCACATGGAAGAGGGCAGGCAGGCAGGTGTCAGGTTGGGCCTCCGGCCTTCCCTATCTTCCTGGGAAACCATGCTTTCCTGCTGTTGGGTGACTGCCCCAGCCCAGAGAGGCTGCAGACCTGTCCGCTTCACACTGTGGTTCATGAGCAAAGGGCCAACCAGCCTGCTGAGACTCAGCTCCAGCTAAAGATGGGCCCTTTGGCCCACAGTTGGGCCTGCTGACTTAAGGTTCAGGCTGGCTTTTGCTGGCCCAGCCTTTACAGACTCTAAGGCTCTCTAAGCCCCTGGCCAGGGGCTTGGGCTCAAGCAGGCACCAGAGGAGACACAGAGAACTCTGCTCTTCAGGGAGCTCAGCCAAGGGACCAGTTGGCAGGAGGTACTGAGGTAAGTAGAATTGTATCCCTTTGCCCACCATGTGGCTGAAAGGTAAAAGCCTGTCTCATGGCCATTCATATTGTCATTGTCCCCTCCCTGCCCATGCAGGTCTCCCTTTTCTTCCTTACCTATTCTTACAACCCTGGGCAGCTCAGTGTCCCCCACCCCACACCACTCAAGGCAGAGTTCAAGTGTGGCATGACCAAGACCAGAAGTCAAGGGGAGTGCACTGGGCCATCTGGAAAATGGACAGAACTTCTGGCCAGCCCCTGGTACCGACAGAGCTGGCAGCAGAGTGCTGGTAGAACAGGATGGAGGGAGGTGGTAAATGACAGGGCAAGTATGGGTCTCACCAGCGCAAAGTGCCCTCTTCCCACCGGGCCCACACTCACCAGCTCACAGTGTGGGGGAGTTGTCCCATGCTGCCTGAGGTCAAAGAGTAGAAGCCAGAGAGGTCGGAGGTCTGCAGAGGCCTGTGAACTCCTACAGTGGAGAGGGGCCGCGTGAGTGATCTAGCCTGACCTGGAAGCTACTTCTGCTAGTTACTGCATCCTAGAGCCACCGGTGGGGCCTCTAAGATCTACCTCCATTTGCTACAGGACCAGACATACTGGTTTGTTCAGGACTATGCCAGTGTGATGACAGTGTTCCGTTTACAGGGCAGAGAGACTGGTGACTATCCTTAAGGACACTGGCTGACCAGGGGAAGAGGTGGAGTCTTCAGGAGTGGGAAGGCCAGGCCTCACCGTGCCCCGGTCCACTGCTGGTCTTCACCTGGGGCCTCTCCACTGGGGACTCTGGTCTGGCTTTGTGTGCAGGAGGCAGGCCCCCTGGCCTGGGCAGCCTGGGATCCACCCGCCCCCTCTGCCTCCCCAGGGTTGAGTCAGCACGTTTCCCACAGCCGACAATGGCTGATTTCAGAATGACTTTCCCTGAGGCTGAGGTGAATCAGCCATCACAACCACCACTTTCCATTTTCTCACTGGGGGAGGGAAGGATTCAAGTTTTACTGTCCTGAGCTTTATACAAATGCCTGCTCCCACATCCTGGCATTGGGAGGCCACTCGGGATTAGGCTCCTACCTGAAGTCTTCCAAGTTTGACCTGGCACCACCTGCCCTCAGGCTCCCCATCCATCTTTCTCATGTTTTCTTTGGGCTTTGAGTTTGTCCAGTCCCAGGTCGTCCAGTTGTAAACAGGGCCTAGCCCCTGGACTCAGAAGCTGAGGACTTGGCCCCAGGCTCAGGGGCTGTCAGGTCCCTCCCCTTCCCAGATCCGTACCTTGTTTCTGGCTGATGTCGCCTGGTGCAGGTGTAGGGTGTGGGCTGCTGAAATGTTCATAGAGAGGAGAGAGTTGCGGGACGCTGTGGGCTGGCTGACTGGCTTTGTTGTGCTGAAAAATGAGGGGGGGGGGGCGCGATGTGAATGTGGGGAGACCCAAAGGACGAAGGCCCAGGGCTGGGGGCATACATATAGACAGAGCCTCTTTTAGCTGTGCGGGTAGCCCAAATGTCAAAGGAAAGTGGGGGTGGTTAAAACCACAGGCCTCGAGGAGGGGGCACCACTCAAGCTGTGCTACGTCCAGTGGCCCTGCCTATGGCCCCCAGACTTTGCTCAAGCAGCCCTCCCACCTAGAGAGCCTCTTGGTTTCTGCAACTCAGTTCCAGGAGGCACATCTCCCTCTCCAGGAAATTCTTTCTCCCTCTGGGTCTGAGGCAGTCCTCCCCCATCCCCCAACCACTCCTTCCTCCCCCGGTTTCTCTGAGGCCCTGTGGCTTGTCTGGGGGCTGCTCATGGCCTCCAGCCCGACATCAGGTAATGGTCTCAAGACCTGGCTTACCCCAGGACAGCCAGGAGTTTTCTTTCTTCCTCCTCCAGCCCCCAGACTCAGGGTTTTGAGTCTGACCCACTATTCCACCTCAGGCTTAACAGGATTTGTGCGCACAAGAAAGGCTCCCATCAACCCTTTAACTCAGAGCAGGTGGGCTAGGTAGAGCCAAGGCTCCCTCCAGGGCCAGCCCACCCAGCCCCCACACTTCCTGTTTCCTCAGCAACACAGGACTCTTACTTTTCACACTAGCCACATGGATCTGTCATGAGATGACTCACACTGGGAAGGGGGCTCCCCGTGCGAACCCAGCCACAGGGAGCTGCTGCTTGGGGCCAAGGTACAGCTCTGCATCTCCCCAGCGCACACCTGCACAAGCCAGAATCCTGGAAACATCATCTACCACTGAGGCTCAGCTTCCACTTGGAAAGTTCACCCGTGGGGATTCTGCTGGCTAGGAGCACAGACAAGTGACTTTTGACTTATGGCACAGAAGAAACACAGGGACATCTTGGAGCAGGAGAGTAGTGAGAGGTTGTGGCCTGGGCTCCTTCCCACCCTGTGGGTGCGACTTCCCACTGGGTGAATTCAGCCAGACTTGCCAACACTTCTGGGCTTCCGTTTCCTCTTGTGCAATGGATGTTCATGGTCCCTTCATCACCAGGTCTGGGGAAGCTTAGGGGGGCTCATGGAGAGGAGGCCTGGCACAGGTCCCCCTGCCCCCCAGATTAGCTGTTTGGCGTCCAGGGCGAGGCGAGAGGGGAGGCCAGGTATGAGCTGCACCCTAGCCAAGATGTGAGGCTTCTAGGTAGACGCAAGCTGCACACCCACCGGCAGCAGCCCTGGCTGCCCTCTCCTCCACACTCCTGCCTCCAGGGGAGCTTGAAGCTGGGCTCCCAGCTCGGGGAAGGTGCTCACACTGCCACCTCTTTGGTCCCCTGCTCGTTCATCTGCCCACCGGGAAAAGCCTCACATCCCAGGACTCATCAGCCTGCCTTCTGTCCTCAGGCACATGGGTTGATGTCCCAATAGCGGTGGCACCACAGCTCCAAGGGAGCACCTCTAACTAGAGCCCTCTCTTGGCTTCCTGGGGCAGATCCGGGAGGGTTCTCCACTGTGAACCTGAGGAGGAGTTGGCTGGCCTGTTCAGATCCTGCTTCTAATGTGTGTGGCCTGCAAGGACTGACCACAGTATCTGAGCATCAGTTTCCTTGGCAAAAGGAGAGGATCACAGGATTGTTGTGAGGGTAAAGCCACATAGTACCCAAGAGCTCAATTCCTCAGGTGCTGTGTCACGAGGAAGGAACATGCAGGAAGCCCCTCACACGCACAAAGGAAATGTTCCTCACTGTCCTTCCCTGGCCCTGCGGTGCTGACCTCTCATGGGCCAGTTTTGGTCTGAATTTGCCAGAGGGGATTTGCCTGGGGATGGAAGACCCATCCGACAGCCCACCAGCAACCTCAGCCCTGGAGGCCGAGGACTGGGCCGTGGTGTCTCCAGGCCTTGGGTGCGGTGACTTTCCCCTTGCTGTTCTAAGGCAAGGCTTTCTGAGCAAGCTGGGAGGCTCATGCCACACTCGGGCTTTCTTTATCTGCAGCACTGACCCTAGACACAACTGGGACAGAGCGCGCATGTAGGAATGAAGCGGAGAATGTAGGCTCCTCAGGCTTGCTGGCAAGGGCTGGCAAGAGAGAGGAAGTGGGCTGGGGCAGCTATGGGCTATAAGGACACCTGTGGAATCCTTCCTGTACGGAGTGCCCGCCACATGCCAGGCATTGTGCCAAGCTCTCCACAGGCCCAACCGCATTCCCACCAGGGGACCGACGGGCTGCCATTTCTCCCGGCTCTAAGTCCTCCCTCAGCCACCAGCTTAGGTCTTGCTCCCCTTTGCTGCAAAACGCAGCAGAAGCCCTCCCCATCCTCAGCTCCTATTCTTAATTCTCGGGCTCCCTTTCAGCCTAGCCATCCCTTGGCACCGTCACTTCACCAGACAGCTCCTGTCAAGGTCCCCAGCATCTCCCACACTGCTGAACTCAGTGCTCAGTCTTCCTTTTACCTGACCTCTCAGCAGAACTGAACACAACTCATTTCTCCCTCCTCCTTGAAAGTTTCTTCGCTTGGCCTCCAGAATGCCACACTCATCTGATTTGCCTCCAAGCTCATAGGCTGCTTCTCTGTCGGCCTACTTTTTGGCTACTCCTCTTCCTGACCTAACCCAAGATGGGCCCTTGGCTTTCCATTTCCCCCTCATTCCCAGAGTGCTCTCATCCAGGGTCACAGCTTTCCATGTCTTCATCTGATGACTGACATTCCGATCTCAGCCCCTGCTTCCTCTAGGAAACTCCACTCCCCAAATGCCTACTCACCACATCGACCTGGAAATCTGAAATGCTGCCCAAACTCAGTATTTCCAAAGCAGAGCCTCTGGTTTTCTGCCCAAAATGCTGTTCTCCCTCTTCATCATTTAATGGCAACTCCCTCCTTCCAGTTGCTCAGATACCTTGGAGTATATCCTTGACTCTCTCACGTCCCATCTCCAATCTGTCAGGCCATACGACTGGCTCTACTTCAAAATAATCTAGAGTCTGCTTCTTCCTCCTCCCTGTCCCCAACTCAGTCCAAGCCGTAGTCACTTCTCACCCAGATGACTCCAGTGGCCTCCTGTCCCTCCACCAATCCTCCATCCAGCAACCATGTAAATCAGATCATAGCACTCCTGTGCCTAGAGCTGCCAATGCACTTAGAAAACCTACAAAGCACTGTAGGTGCCCACTCCCTCCCTCTCTTCCCTGCTCATGCCCAGCACTTCCCATGTGCGCTTCAGCCTCCAGCCTCCTCCTCTAGTTGGTCTAGTGATCACTTTCGGGTGTGCCACAAGGTAAAGTGGGCTAGGGAGCCTAGCTCGAAGGCTCTCTGATGTTTATATTAACCTTCTCATTACAGGATCCTGGGGCCAATGTGCCCCTTGAATAACGACAATGAGAAAATCAGTCTTGATTACCTCACTGATCACAGATGCAAAAATTCTGCCTTCAAATTTGGGGGAGCAGTAGCTGAAGGAGGGCCTGGGAAGCTTCCTGGAAGTCTCTGGGGCTTTTTTATCCTGATAGGTCCCCAAGACAGTGGTAGCCAGACATCATCAGCCCTGACCAGGCCTTATGACAGACAGGGCCACAGCTTTAGGGCCCAGTCTCTTAAGAACCTGGGATTCTGGTGGAAGGCATTCCACCATTCGCCACCGAAGGGCACAAACGCCTGGAACCCTGGCCCAGTAGGTGGAATGTACACCATCCACAGGTCCCTCTGGCCTGGGGGCTTTTGAATGTAAGCTCCCACTTCAAGAAGGCCTTACCATCTAGGCCCGGACTCTGGCTCTTGGGCCCCTCAGAACTGTAAGCTTGGCTGGTGGAGTGGGACCCATGGAAGGAAGTCTTAGAACCAGAGTCTGGGGTCCAAGGTGCCAGCTTCAGGAAAACAGTCTCAGAGTCCCACTCTCCCAGGAAGGGGGTAGGGTGGGTTTGCTCCAAGGGAGGAAGAGGGTGGCCCCACCCCCATCTCTGGGGAGGGCTAGTTTTGGCCAGGAAACCACAGAGAGGTGTCTCACGTGTTGGAGGACCAGAGCTGACTGTCCTAGGCCAGGCTGGCTAAGGCCCAACGTGCAGCACAGCCAGGCCTAGGAAACCCCCAAATCCAGCTCAGCCTACAGCCTGTGGCCTGGGATGCATGTGTGGAACAGGTATTGAGTGGGGGGTGGGAGGTAGGAGGCATTGCCCGATGGTCAGAGGGCTCATCCTGTCCACCACCCTTCACTGGGAACTGGGGAAAGCCTCTAATTAAACAGGAGTCTGCAGCCAAACCACAGGGGGCAGGGGTGGGGCAAAGAGCCTGCCATCCACTGGAGGCCGTGGGGTGGTCAGGGCTCTAGAGCAGGGCACTGAGGGCCTGGCCAGTCCTTCCCACGTTGATGCAGGCTGCCCCTCCGCCTCACTCCCCAGCCCCCTCATGTCTGTGCTGGTAGCCAGGGGGAACCATCTGGCGTAGGGCCCAGTGCCCCATGCCCCCCTCAGCCAGAGGAACGTCCCGCTCCATGGCCTCAGCACAAGGCTGTCCCAGGGCCAGGCCGCCCAGACAAGGTGGGGTTGCCTGGGGCCTGGGATGTGTATGGGGAGCCCTATGACTGGAGCTGCCCTCTCTCCTCCCTCTGATACTGACTGCCCAACCTCCACAAGAAGGGGGCAGGCCTGGGCGGACTCTCCCCACCAGACCCTGAGTGTATGGGAGGGCACAAGCTCACCTCTCTCACCTGCGGGCAGAGCGCCAAGCACGGAGCGGCCCCCTCAGTATTGCCCTTCACAGCATGGTACAATGCCGACACAAAAGACTCAGCAGCCCGGACATCTTGTTCAGGACTTTGCCTCTGCCAGCACACCCCCACCGCATACTCTCTCACACGCACACGCACATGCACGATAGGTCCAGGACTCGGAGACCCTGGGGCTGGGAGGCCGGGTCTGCCACAGCCTGAGCAGAAGCCATCCTTCCTGCTGGCGCGTGGCTTTTCCTG